TTAGGACCCCTAAATTTGCTTTTCCTTGAGGAACTTTATAGTTTTAGGTTTCACATTTAAGTCTTTGATCCGTCTGGAGTTAGTTTTTATGTATAGTATGGAGATATGGGTCTTGTTTCATTTTTCTGCAAATGGATATCCAGTTTTGCCAGCATCATTTGCGAAAAAGACTGTCTTCCCCATTTAATAGATTTTGGCCCTTTGTCAAAGAGCAGCTGACCATAGGTCAGTGGATCTGTTTCTGGGTTCTTACTTCTGTTTCACTGGTCTGTGTGTGTGTGTGTCATTGAACCCATACCAGGCTATTTTGATAACTGTGGCTGTATAGTAGATTTTGAGATCTGGGAGTGTGAGACTTCCTATTTTGTTGCTCTTCTTCAATAATGCTTTGCTTATCCAAGATATCTTTCCTTTCCATATAAAGTTAGTGATTGGTTTTTCCATATCCTTCAAGAATGTTGATGGGATCTGGATTGGGATTGCATTGAATGTATAAATTGCTTTGGGTAGTATTGACATTTTCACAATGTTCAATCTTGCTATCCATGATTATGATATGTTCTTCCATTTATGTAGATCTCTTATGGTTTCTTGAAGGAGTATTTTATAGTTTTCTTTGTATAGGTCTTTTTTGTTCCTGGTAAGATTTATCCCCAAGTATTTTATTTTTTGGTAGCTATTGTAAATGGTATTGATTTCCTTATTTCATTTTCAGCAATCTCTTTGCTGGTGTAGAGTAATCCAGCTGATATTTTTGGATATTGATCTTGTATCCTGCCACTATGCTAAATTTCTCAATTGGTTCCAGTAGATTTTTGACTGTCTCTTGGGTTTTCTGGGTATAGTATCATATCATCAGCAAATTTGACTTCTTCCAAACCAATTTTTGTTCCTTTGATTTCCCTTTCTTGCCTTGTTGCCCTTGCTGGGACTTGCAATACAGTGTTGAATAAATTCAAGTGGTGATAGAGGGCATCCTTTCCTGGTTCCTGTTCACAAGGGGAATAATTTCAGAGTCTCTCCATTGAGAATAATGTTGGCTGTTGATTTTGCATAGATGCCCTTTATTATGTTGAGGAATATCCCTTTTGTTCCTATTTTGCTGAGAGTTTAGGTCAGGAATGAGTGTTGGATTTTATCAAATACCTTGTCTGCATCAATTGATATGATCATGTGGTTCTTTTTTTTGTTTGTTTTATTTTTGTGGTGGATGATGTTGATTGTTTTTCTGATGTTGAACCAACCTTGCATACCTGATATGAACCCCACTTGGTCATAATGAAATTATTTTCTTGATATGTTGGTGGAGTCTATTGGCTAGAATTTTGTTGAAGATTTTTTTTTTTTTTAAT